ATCAAGATTATTTTTTCATTTGAAAAAATATCTCTGGCTTGGCACCTGTGGCTCAAGTGGCTAAGGTGCCAGCCATATACACCTAAGGTGGTGGGTTCGAATCCAGCCCGGGCCTGCCAAAACAACAATGATGGCTGCAACCAAAAAAATAGCCAGGCATTGTGGCGAGCGCCTGTGGTCCCAGCCACTTGGGAGGTGAAGGCAGGAGACTCGCTTGAGCCCAGGAGTTGGAGGTTGCTGTCAGCTGTGATGCCACGGCACTCTACCCAGTGGGACAGCTTGAGGCTCTGTCTTAAAAAAAAAGAAGAAGGAAAAATATCTCATGCTAACCTTAAGAGTCACCCTGGTTAGTTCATTTGAGAAAGGAAAGATTTTGGCTCAGACACTGCAAAAAATAATTGTCATGATCACTTACATCATTCCAGCAAATGTCATTCTACCCGCAGGTGAGGAGTATATGGTCCATTATCCATTCTCTACACCTTCCAAGGTCAGTCCCACTACTCCAATTTCAACTAAATAATTTTATTTGTTAATTGCAAGAAAAGTATTTGTATCTTTATGAAACATTGTGGTAGGTAACAAAGCAAACAAAGATAAACCAGCCAAAGTCTGATAGATTATAAACTAAAAATAATTACAGTAAAAGCAGCATTTGAAAAGCTCAAATGCAAGTCTTACATTAATTGTGACTTCTTTCCCTTTTTCACATGCATAGTGGGTGACTGGTACTAAGAAAATTATTCCATTAACAGCTCACCATTGACCAAATTAAGTTATGATCCTACTCATTACTTATGACCCATACTGTTACTTGACTTAGTACACTTAATATGATAATATCTCTCTCTTACAGTACCATATTCCAAAGTCCACATATCCTTCAAGGTTGAGTTGTACCTTCTCTTGAAATATTTTCCCAGCTGCTCTTTTATCTGAATAGAATGAGTAACTACATCTGAATAACATTTTTATGATGTAGAGACCCATGTACAAAAGATCTTTACTAGGTATACTAGTTGTCTCTCCAATATCCAGCAGTGGGAATTAGTGCCCTCTTTATCCCCAACTGTATGAGACCAAGGAAGCAGGTCGCCATATTGCTATCCTGTGACTAAGAAGTGAGCCTGGCTTAATAATAGAAGCCAAAACTATGGCTGCAGAGTGAGAGATTGAGAAGAACCTGGATCTTTGATGAGTAGATCGCCGGGTACCAATCCTGTACCTTCTAGTCACAATACTCAGTAAATGCCCTTATGTTTAACCTAGTTTATACTACCTTACAAAGCAAAGTATTGACATCAATCTGAAATTCTCATGATTTTAAATGCCAAGCCTGAATAAGGTTGCATACCTACTCTGAGTAAAGCTGGGTAAATGGATTGATATTTGCCCCAATTTGTAGCTAGAGGTTATGCATTAGAAACAGATAAAAAATACCAACTCATTACTTTTGATTTCCTGAGCATTTTGTTAATGATGAATCATTGACACTAAAACTTTAAAATTATTAAAAATGACAAACAAAAAATTGTGATTTTTTTCAAATCAATGAACTTAAAATACAATAGTTTCCCAGGTAAAATAAGATGTAATAAAAAAATTTAGAATAGAGATTGAGTGTCAGATACAGCAATCAGAGAATTTTAAAGAAGTTGATGAAGGTCAGTTGGTTAGAGATGCTACTGGGTCTTTGATTAGACAGGTGGAAAAGAAGGATAAAAACTGCAAAGGAGGGAGGGAGTGAGGAAAACAGTCTACGACATAATTAGCCTGTGATGTTGGTGATTTCAGTTTGGAGCTTGTAAACACCACTCCACCTGTCTTTCACACTTTGATTTTGTGAAACATCAAGCAAAAATGTCTACTCTTCATCTCATCTCTGTAAAAATGTCTTTGTCAATAAGGATTGGCTTCCACAAGCTAAAGATATTATCATTACTCGAAATGAAGCAATGCTAAAGTCATGACAAAGTAAATTCTGTTTCACCGTACTTTTTTCCCCTTCCTCTGGCTGTGGGAAAACACCGATCAATACTATTCAGCATGAGAATTTTTCAGTAAAATTTTCATTTGCAACAAACAGCAACAAAAAAGCCCTAAGCGTGCCCTGTCACTTTCAGTTTAACTGAAAACACACTAATAAACTCTTGCCCTTGGGTCATCTTTGACAACAGGCAATAGTATGCCAGCTCTTATTAAAGACTATTCATATCACTGCCCCCAAAATTTCCTTTAAAATTACCATCTTTTCTATCTATGTAACAGCATGTCAGCTTTACAAGTGCCAATGAGAGATAGGACCTGTCATCATAGTTAATTCTCAGCGCTGTTTCAAACTCTGGACAGCTGATCCCTAAAGGTATATTTGTGGTGAGCAATCTTTATTTGGTAGTTAATTGGACAAACAAGAAAAAAAATAAAAAAACCCAGCAAAGTATCACATATTAGTATTAGATACAGAACAATCTAAAATAGGTTGTAAAGAAACACAAACCTGCAAAAAACTAAGAAAAATACATCAAAAATTTCAACAACAACAAATTTTTCAACAAAATGTAAGGGTCCTTTCTAAAATTTCATTTATTTTGCAAGTAATATTCTTGGAATATCTGTAACAAAGTTGTCTCCAGGTCAGAAAAGCAAGCTTTGATAAAATAGAAAACTCTACTTGTTGATTAAGACAAACATGCGAGATCTAGTAATGAAGATTCTCTCTTAAAATACATATGCAGAAAATGTCCATATAAAAGAACAAACTGTATGTATAAAGGGAATGTCTGGATAAAAGCATCACTGTCCTCCGCAACCTGTCCAATAAATATAGGACTTCCTTAAAACAAGTATAGATTGATTATATATGTAACTATATGCAATGTATACATAATTATACAAATTATATGTACAGGTATATATATTATATATACCGTCAGGTATTCAGAAGCACTCTCTGTACACTACTAAGTCACCATTTCCTTCAATGGTTGCTTATTGTGAATGCACATATAATATTCTGAAGACACAGTGAGCAAGAAAAGTCAACAGGACACCACATTCCATCCACAGCATATTAATCACACTGAAATGTACCCTAAGGAAACTTCAGGGTTTCAAGATCAGGTTCAAGCAAGAAAGATGGTTGACTGAGCCTCAACAAAGAGGAATATCCATCCACAGGTGAACAAGGGATAAATAGTTTCTTTGCCTGATTCTGGGGTCAAATACTATCATATTTTCTTATTATTCAAAAACTTGGGGCTATAACCTCTATGAAGTTCTGCAAGTGATATGAGCTGACTATGGGGACATGAGAGATATTTCATTGAAAATAGTCATATCTAGTCTACAAAGATAAACCTTTTTATTAAGCCATATGGTCTCCCACAACAAAAGTATACAAGAGGCTAACAAGATTATTAAATGAGCTCACCATTAAGAATCAAGAAACATAGGGTTATATTCTGGCTCAGTCAATTATTAGATTTGTTTTTGTTTTTGTTTTTTGCAGTTTTTTGCCAGGGCTCGGTTTGAACCCACCACCTCCTGCATATGGGGCCTGGTGCCCTACTCCTTTGAGCCACAGGTGCCGCCCTCAATTATTAGGTTTTTGAGGCTACTGGCAAATTATCAAATGGCCTGAATATTTGAATATTAATTCCCTTCTCTTTAAAAGTACCAAAGGTTGAAGTATTAAAGTTAAGGAAATCTTGAAATATTATAGGTAAAAGAAACTTGATCCCAACTATTCTAAGATGTAGTAACTAGAGTGTGGACGTATCTCACGGGTCCCCTTCCCGCCCCCCGCATTGGCATGTTCTGTGCCCTTTGCTGGCTGATGCCTCTTTCTCTTAACCCTGCCCCTATATCCATCCCTCTAACCTGCGCAATTTTCTCTCAACCTTCAGGTCGTTCCTCAAAAAGGACCCATTCACAAATGCCTTCCATGATATCTCTGACAATCTCAAGACAGTTTAGATATTTTTTTCCAAATTTAATGTTGAAGAAATTTACACAGTTCATAATTATTTTAATTTGTACCTATATTGGTGGATTCTTGATACCCTATTCAACAAAACTACTTTTCTTTTAAATTTTCACATGGCTACTTCTAAATTTTCACATGGCTAAAGTCTTCATTTTTTTTTAGCAGTTTCAATTCAATTGTTACCTTCACAAAGCAGTTTTGCAGACCACCCTAACCAAAATATCAATCTCTGACATTTTGTGTCTTTTTCTTTAGAACATGTGCCACGGAGTGATACTGCAATTTCAGTATGTATCTATATAGCATGTATAACAGACCTCCCTATTAGGCTCTCTCTGGGCAGGGACCTTGTATTTTATTTATAATTGTATCTTAAGAAGAACAATGCCTGGAATATAAAGGGGACCCAGCAAATTGCAAATAAATGTAATTAACATACATTTTGCCTGTATACATATCTTTCCAGGATTCACTACAGATATGTACTGCCAGGTCATAATCTCTCCACATTCCTCTAGTAAATTCAGTATCCAAGAACATCAAAGAACATGTCTTGGCAGTTCTAACATTCTAAGATTCTAGAGAGAGCATGAATTAGTGAATTATTTACTACTATTTTGGTACTGATAAAATTTACAGGTCTATGGGGATATAATGTTTAACCTTAACATCACTCGCACAAGGCCTTGGGGAACCAAAGATGTTTAAATAGGAAGAACTAGGTCTAAAGTTAAAATGCAAACAAGATGCTAGCAACATGGAATAAAATATTTTATATATTTAGCCCTATTATAGCATCATCAAATAGAATCCTTTCAATAGAAAACACTTGAAATACTTCACAATTACACTGTTAATGTTACCATAAGACATTTTCAGAACTTCTATAAGATGGCTTCTATATATGGTGACTAACGATTAAAAACACTGTGGTTTAAAAATCACTCTACCTATAGAGTTGCTTTTGTTCTAACAAAGTCATACAACTTAATGAAGTGAAAACAATTTTACTTACCTCTCACAATAAGTTGAGCAAAATTGGACACTCCAGAGCCTCGTTCTGACTGAGTTACACAGCGATACAAATCCTGGTCAGTTTTTGTCACTTCCTGCAATCTAAACGAAGCCGCAAATCTTCTATGATTGATATTCTTAGTCTGGGCTACAGGTATATCTTCTCCATTTCGTCTCTGCAAACAGAAACCAATATTTAAAAACAGATTTGCAACCTTCCCTTAAATCTAAAGCATCTCAGAAAGCAATACCTATGATGAATTATTCTTGTTGCAAAATTAGGGGGGAAATGTCTATGTAGACCCACAAATTTTTGCCAGTGTCAATCAATCAGGAAAAAGATGTAACATTATACTTTAAAGGATGTAGGACTTACACTAAGGCAGTAATCATCATTTAGATAAAGTTGTTACTATACTGCAGCATATGAATGAACAGGAGAGTTAACAGTTCCTGTTAACTGTTGCATTTCCCCATCCTCCCAGAATATATACACAAGCTTCATTAGAACCTACTACACGGCATGTGCTATGATATCTTCGTACTCAGCAGGGGAACGAGACTATGCCCTATGCATATCTCTGTATTCCAAATGTGTAGTATGTGCTGGCCTCAGAATGACAATAAAATACTGATAAATAATTTAGAATCAACACCAAATCTGTACTCTTTCCAAATTTCTCTTTGGGATTAATGACTGCCAATTTATACACTTTAATGAAGTAGTCAAAAGAGCTCAAATGTTAAAACCATATCTGCCAACTGTCAAAATGAAGTATTAAAAAACATGTTTATAATATCAAGGTATCTCATACAAGACTATAAACTGTAAAGGAAATGAGTGAAAAATCCAACTACAGAAGAACTTCCATAGGTGACCACCTCCCTACACTGACCACATCCTTAAGTTGACCTAATTTTGATAGACCGGACATGTACCACATGTACATATTAGAACAGCAGACCTAGTTCCTTACATTGACCTCCTCCTTATGTAGACCAGTTTGTTATTGACCATTGGGTGGTCAATTTGTAGACTTCTATTATATAATAAAATTTATAATTTCTTCACATTAAAAGATGTCATAAAGTGAAAAAGAAAAGCAATGAACTGTGATATTTGTCAACAAAATACCCATTAAATGATATAGTCAAGCTATATGAAGATCTTCTATAGTTCAATAAGAAAAAAAATAAACAACTCAATCAAAATAGGCAGACAATAAAAAGAGAAAATATGTGTAGTGACCACAAAAGTTGACTCTCAACCAAAATTCAATATACGTCAACCTATAAATGTAATTCACAACATGAACAGATGCAAAAGCAAAGGCCATTTGACTCTTTCAGTTGATACAGAGAAATTATTTGACAAATTCAGCACCCTTTCACGATGAGAACACTCAACAAAACCAGTATAGATGGGACATTACTCAAAGTTAGTAAGGCAAATCTACAGCCAACATCATATTGAATGGGAGAAAATTGAAAGCATTCCTGCTTAGAACTGGAACCACACATGGTGCCCACTTTTATCACTTTTATTCAACATAGTCCTGGAAGTTCTCATCAGAGCAAACAAGGCAAGAGAAGGAAAGCAATGGAGTCAAAATGGGGAAAGGAGAGCAAAGGACCTCTCTTTACTGATATGATCTTATACCTAGAAAACCACAAAGATTTAATTAAGAGACTCTGAACTTATAAATAGAATCAGCAAAGTTTCAGATTACAAAATCAACTTACACAAATCAGTAGCTTTCATATATGCCAAAAAACCTAAGAGCAAAATCAAAGATATGATACCTTCACAGCAGCAACAAAGAAAATAAAACTCCTAGCAATATGTTTAACAAAGAAGGTGAAAGACTTCTACAGGGAGAATTATAAAACAGAGTAAAGAAATGGCAGAGGATATTAATAGATAAAAAAAAATATCATGCTAATGGATCGGCAGAATCAACATCGTTAAAATCATTGTATTACCTAAAGTGATTTACAAATTCAATGCAATTCCCATTAAAATACCAATGCCAATTTTTTGACGATCTCGAAAAACTAGTTCTATGTTTCATATGGAACAAAAGAAGACCCTGAATGACCAATGCAACCTTATGAAATAAGAACAAAGCAGAAGGCATCACTTTATCAGCCTTCAAGCTATACTACCAGTCTATAATAACCATCAGCATGGTACTGGCCCCCAGAGACATGAAGCTATGGATCAGAACAGAAAACCCAGAGAAGCAATCATCCTTATATTTTCATCTGGTTAAAATAGATAAAAACCTACACTGGGGCAAAGAATCCTCTTCAATAAATGGTGCTGGGAAAACTGGTAGGCACATGTAAAAGATGGAAATAGGATCTACACCACTCACTACTTACAAATATTAAGTCACAATGGATAACAGACTTAATCCTAAGGCTGGAAATAATAAGAATCCCAGAAAAAAATATTGAAAAAACTCTCTTATAAATACTAGGCTATGCAAATCCATGAAGAGTCTCCTCTTAGATCACAACTGTCCCTGAGATTCCATCACCCACTCCTCACTCCTTTAATCCTCTCTGCATTGTCCATGAGATCTCACTTTCTGACCCTTTTCTCTATAGCCAGCCATTTCTTTTTTTTTTTTTTTTTTGAGACAGAGTCTTATTATGTCACATTCAGTAGAGTGCTATGGCATCACAGCTCACAGCGACCTCTAACTCTTGGGCTTAAGTGATTCTCTTGCCTCAGCCTCCCAAGTAGCTGGGACTACAGGTGCCTGCCACAACGCCTGGCTATTTTTGTTGTTGTTGTTGTTGTTATTGTTGTTAAGCAGGCCCAGCCGGGTTCCAACTCACTAGCCCAGGGGTATGTGGCTGGCACCTTAGCCACTGAACTACAGGCACCCAGCCTAGCCAGCCATTTCAAAGGAGCTTTCACTAATTAGCCTGAAAGAATTCTAGATTCTCTTAATTTCTATTGTTCATGCATTGCCAGTATTAAAATTATACTACAGAAAGTCCCTGGGTTATGAAAGACATAGGGTCTGTAGCTTTGTTCTTAAGTTGAATTTGTATGTAAGTTAGAGCAGGTACATTGACTGATTACCTGTAACAGTCTCTGTTCCTAAGAGCAAGTGGTCCATCAGTTGGATATTTGTAACTCAAAATCTTACTGTAATAGCCTCCCATCCGTGTGAGTTTTATGTAAGTCAGATGTTTGTAACTTGTGGACTACCTACATTTCTTTATCATTATTCTAAAACTGCTGACTTTTGCTGAAATCAGTCCTATGAGAAAAATGTTACCCAAAAATTGAGATGAGCAACTTCTCCACACTCCTCCCGGATTTCCACAATGACTTGATCTGTGATGTCTGTCTCCATATCACATTCTGTTTGCTTTGCTTCTACAGACTCTTCCCTGTCTACTGCCACTAGCAGGGTCTTAAATACTGCCTCAGAAACTCCATAAAATGATATTACGTGAAACTTATTAACTGGCTTTTCTAACCTAAATCTCCTCTAGTATAATATTTTCTATATAGATCTTTTTATCTCTTTGTATACCGAAATCATTCCGAAGGTAGGATTTCATGTCTTACTTATGTATCTTTTCCTTCGAAGTCATCCAATAAAGTTCTTAATGGCCCCCTGACGTACTTTGTTAAAAGAAATTAAATTCATTATATATATCAGAGACAAGAATCAGGTAATCCTCTTTAGACATTTACAAATAATTATAATGAAATATATAATATTAAACTAATAATAAAGGGAAACTACATAAATATTAAATCCCAAGTACACCAAGAGGTCATTTATGCCAAGCCATTTCTTTCAGAATTAATATCACAAGTCAGAGAGGTTGAAAGGTCTGTTTAAGCAAAGATAAACAACTATTAAGTCCACAAAAGAAAAACACAAGTATAGGCCAGAGGGGGAGGGGAGAGGAGGCGGGAAGAAGGGAGGAGGGATGGTGATTGGCAGGATCTTCCCTAATGTGCACAATGTGAGGGTGTTCAGCACACCCCCCGGGTGAAGGTCTCATCTACAACTTGAACTTTACCTTAGAAGTGAAAAGAACATAACCTAACCATTTGTATCCTCATATAAATCTGAAAATTAAAAAAAAAAAAAAAGGTCTGTTTAAGGTCATCTAGTCACAAAGCTGATACATTACATGATTTTATATTTATATATATTAACATATTAATATAACTATAAAATAGTCTGTTTAAGGTCATCTATATCACAAAGCTAATATAATATATATTAATAATATAATTAATATAAGCTAATATAATTAATAATATATTAATATAACTATAAAATAGTCTGTTTAAGGTCATCTATATCACAAAGCTGATACATTACATGATTTTAAATTTATATATATTAATATGTTAACATAACTATAAAATAGACAATTGCTATTTACCTGTTGAAATAGAGTAACAATAAAACTGAACCCAGAGCTGTAACATTCAGGTTCTACTCAATAATTGTTTAATAAGCACCTCCATGTACCTGATATTATGTCAGTTGTTACTGGTTCTATCACTTCTATCTCACATATACTTAACTATGATAGAATCATATCTATTTAAAAATCATAAAATCAAAATTCAGAAAGATCAGAAATGTGATGGAGAGTCACACATTTAGTAGTAGGACTAAAACTCAAAGCCAGGTTTGGCAAACGCAGGAGTCTTTCCTTTAACTAAACCACAGCTGCTTCTTTCATTTTTAGGACAGGTCCTGTCCAATGACTTGACTATTTGCTGTTGAGGCTTGATGAATACATTGTTCCAAAGAGCAATATAAAGTATTATATTAGACAGGGCTTTATTTACTCAGCTTCCAATATTGCATCACAGTTAAAAGCAGCAACTGACACCATGTATAACCTAAAAATCAAAAAGAATAACTTCTTCTTTTAAATTACAAAGATCAGCCTTTAACAACAAGTTATCAGTTTATCACAAGGCCAAAAAAGAAGATAGATATAAGAAGTAAGGGTAAATTTCTCTCTTATGAAGTAATGTTTGCATACGGTTTTCCGCCTTTGCTAAGTTTTTCAGTTACAAGTTCTTTATTCTGCTTTGAGTTTATATGATTTCTCTATTGCAAAGATTCCTACCTGAGAAGTACTGAAAATGAATCACAGAAGTATATGGTCTGAGGGA